CCCTGTAGCCTGTGATATAGTGAGGGAACAAGGGCACCTCACAGTCCTGTGTGGATGCCCAGCCCTCTGTCAATCCTCCCAGCCAGACTGAAAGTCAGTGGGGAACACACATTTTTCTCGCTGCTGGAATCTCTGGACCACATGCATGCACAAGAGCTGCCAACTGCATGTTTCCTTCTGCCTGCTGGTTGCCAGGTGCATGCACCCAAGCTTCTGCCTGAGGTACTGCTGACAAGATTGTGTCTTCTTTTAAAATTCTTTTTTAAGGTTTATTTTATTTATTTGAAAGAGTTACAGAGAGGCAGAGGGAGAGAGAGAGAGAGAGAGAGAGAGAGAGAGACAGGTCTTCCAGCCAATGGTTCACTCCCCAGATGGCCACAATGGCCAGAACTGTGCCAATCCGAAGCCAACAGCCAGGAGCTTCTTCTGGGTCTTCCATGGCCCAAGTGTCTGGGCCATCTTCTACTGCTTTCCCAGGCCATAGCAGTGAGCTGGATCAGAAGCGGAGGAGCAAGGACTCAAACCAGTGCCCATATGGGATGCTGGCACTTTAGGTGGCAGTCTTACCCACTATGCAACAGGGCTGGCCCCAAGATGGTGTCTTATTACAGGCAATTTCTGGGTGTGTGCACAAGAGCTTTTGCAGCTGCTTCTCATACCCAAAAATTGTGCCCACCTTTTCTCTGCTGGTTGCTGGGTTGCCATTATTGCGGAGATAGGGTGAGAGCATTGTGCACCTCTTTTTTCACTGGGTCAACAGGTACCCTTTTGTCTTATGGCCCTAGGCTGGACTCACTCCACACTCTCCTTTCAGCTATATCACCAGTGGCACTGGCTGCAGCAGTCTGATCTCACCTCAGTCTCCAAAGCTGATGCTTTCTCTGGATCTTGGCTGCTGGGGTCGTGTATTGTGTCTGTGTTTATGCTGTGTGTTAGCACCTTTCTCACTGATCCAACGTGTTCCTCTTCCTTCCTTAGCATTTCCACTGCAGTTTTCTAATGTTCCCCTGAGAATGTACTTCCTACACCTTCTCTCTCTCCCTCTCTCTCCATCTCTCTCTCTCTCTCTCTTCCTATTTACCCCTAGCCCAGAGCAGTATGCCCTTCACTATTCTGCCATTTTGGAATCTTTCAATTAAAATAATTATTAAAATGGATTTAATGGGGGGGAGTTTCCAAGATGGCGGAATAGGGAAGGAGCACACTGATAGTCCGGGAAAAGATAGTTAATAAAAGTGGAGATACTGCAGTCTCAGGGAAGAGTTAGGGAAAAAACTGCAGAGGAAACTCTTCCAGAATTAGTGGCACACGGTGGACCTATGTGGAGGGCACGGGCGCCCATGGCTTGGGACCCCAGCTGCCAAGTTTACACACCAGCACTGGAAAGGGAGGTGAGGCGAAAACACAATAGCCCGAGACACTTGCAGAAAGGTTGCAGGAAGAGCCTAGAGGGAATGGGGCTTGAAGCCCCATAGGGGAAAGTACACCATCCTACCTAGAGGAGAGAAAAAAAATAAAAGGGACCAGTATGGACACGATTCTCTCTCTCCATTCACCTTAAAAAGGCAGGTAAGACAATAGAGCAGGCGCCATTTTGGACATACATAACAGCTGCACCAGCTCAGGGCTGTTCTTGCTCTCAGCAAGCAGAAAAACCTGACTCTGGTGGGGAAAAATAAGAGGAGATTAAGACCTAGTGAATGTGTGGAGCTTATGAACTGGGACTGTGAAAAAAAAAAAAACAACTGAAGGTGTGTGGGAGAACTCACGCTGTATCTGAGATGTGAGTAGTCCCTGTGGGAGACCCCATAAACTTGGTAACCTTGGCAACCAGGTGGGAGACATTGCAGGGGAATCTGAGCTTACACTGAGGACTGCACAGATCCTTTGTGTGGTCCCTGGGACAGAGCAAATATTATACCCACTGGGCTAGCGCTCAGGCACTGATTGCCATCGAGGAGAAGAGCTCAGCTGAGCAGAATTACTTCACTTTTGAATTTAAAAAAAGAGAGAGAGACAGAAGATTTACCACACCAAACCTGGGTGTGTCACATTTGGCACTCCCTTAACCCTGAAGAACTGAACAGAGCTCTCTGGCCACACCCACCAAAAGCCTCTAGAGATTCACCAAAAGCAGACAGTCCACTTAATCTAGGTTCATAGTATAATGAGAAACAACCAAAGAGTATCTCCACAAAGCAAAACAACAAATGCAGAAACTGTGGAAACAAGAACAAGGAAGACATCATAAACACTCCCAAATGAACACGACACTCCAATACAAGATTATGAAGATGATGAGATAGAAGAAATTCAAGATACGGAATTCAGAAAATTTATGATAAGAACATTTAGAAGTTATCAAAAGCAAATGCATTAACTACAGAAATCCATACAGGACAGGACAGAAAATCTCTCTCATGAAAATGAAATCTTAAGGAGGAATCAAAATGAAATGAGGAATTTAGTAGAAAATGAAATTATGATATTGAAGAGAAATCAAAATGAAATGAAGAATTCGATAGAACAAATAACAAACGCATTTGAGAGCCTTAAAAACAGAATCAGTGAGATATAAGAGAGAATATCGGACTTAGAAGACAGAGCACAGGAAAGTATACAGTCAAACCAAAGAAAAAAGAGGAAAGTAGAAATATAAAATGTATTGTTGAGAATCTACAGGATACTGTTAAAGTGGGATTTATCCCTGGTATGCAGGGATGGTTCAACTTTCTCAAATCAATCAATGTGATACACCAAATATAAAAACTACAGAAGGAAAACCATATGATTATCTCAACAGATGCAGAGAAAGTATTTGATAAAATACAACACCCTTTCATGATGAAAACTCTAAGCAAATTGGGTATGGAAGGACCATTCCTCAATAAAATCAAAGCAATTTTTGAAAAACCACGGCCAGCATCCGATTGAATGGGGAAAAGTTGAAAGCATTTTCGCTGAGATCTGGTATCAGACAGGGATGCCCACTCTCACCATTGCTATTCAATATAGTTCTGGAAGTTTGAGCCAGAGCTATTAGGCAAGAAAAAGAAATTAAAGGGATACAAATTGGCAAGGAAGAACTCAAACTATCCCTCTTTGCAGATGATATGATTCTTTATTTAGGGGATCCAAAGAACTCTACTACGAGACTATTGGAACTCATAAAAGAGTTTGGCAAAGTAGCAGGATATAACATCAATGCACAAAAATCAACAGCCTTTGTATACACAGGCAATGCCACGGCTGAAAAAGAACTGCTATGATCAATCCCACTCACAATAGCTTCAAAAACAATCAAATACCTTGGAATACACTTAACCAAGGACGTTAAACATCTCTACAGTGAGAATTACAAAACCTTAAAGAAGGAAATAGAAGAGGATATCAAAACATGGAAAAATCTTCCATGCTCATGGATTGGAAGAATCAATATCATCAAAATGTCCATTCTCCAAAAAGCAATTCATAGATTCAATGCAATACCAATAAAAATACCAAAGACATTCTTCTCAGATCTGGAAAAATGATGCTGAAATTCATATGGAGACACAGGAGACCTGGAATAGCTAAAGCTATCTTGTACAACAAATAAAAGCTGGAGGCATCACAATACCCAACTTCAGAACATACTACAGGGCAGTTATAATCAAAACAGCATGGTACTGCTGCAGAAACAGGCGGATAGACCAATGGAACAGAATAGAAACACCAGAACTCAATCCAAACATCTACAGCCAACTTATATTTGATCAAGGATCCAAAACCAATTCCTGGAGCAAGGACAGTCTATTCAATAAATGGTGCTGGGAAAACTGGATTTCCATGTGCAGAAGCATGAAGCAAGACCCCTACATTACACCTTACACAAAAATCCACTCAACATAGATTAAATATCTTAATCTATGACCAAACACCATCAAATTATTAGAGAATATTGGATAAACCCTGCAAGATATAGGCACAGGCAAAGCCTTCTTGTAAAAGACACCGAAGGCACAGGCAGTCAAAGCCAAAATTCACAATTGGGATTATATCAAATTGAGAAGTTTCTGTACTGCAAAAGAAACAGTCAGGAAAGTGAAGAGGCAACTGACAGAAGGGGAAAATATTTGCAAACTATGCAACAGATAAAGGGTAAACAACCAGAATCTACAAAGAAATCAAGAAACTCCACAACAACAAAACAAACAACCCACTTAAGAGATGGGCCAAGGACCTCAATAGACATTGTTTCAAAAGAGGAAATCCAAATGGCCAACAGACACATGAACAAATATTCAGGATCACTAGCCATCAGGGAAATGCAAATCTAAACCACAATGAGGTTTCATCTCACCCAGTTAGAATGGCTTACATACATAAATCTACCTACAACACATGCTGACGAGGATGTGGGGAAAAAGGGACACTGACCCACTGTTGGTGGGAATGCAAGCTGGTAAAGACACTATGGAAGTCTGTCTGGTGATTCCTCAGAAACCTGAATACAACCCTAACATACAAGGATAATCTCCCTGTCTTCTCCACAAAGAGGGCCAGCAGTGAACAGGGTTGGGAGAGCACCACATGAATCCCCAGCTCCTATTGCTCCTGCAAGTCCCCAGAGGCCCCTTAGCAGGCTTCCCTTAGAGCTTGGTGCCTTGTCTGAGCCTGTCAGCATGACTGGATCTTGGTCCTGCCTTGAACCACTGTTCTCTCATTAGGGACATGCACTCCCCCATCTTGTACATGTATGTGATCCCCATGGGGCAGAGTGGGGTGAGTGTGCAGTGTTGGGGTAGGAGAGCAGAAGGAGTATACAGGTCAGGGCAATGCTGCCATGGCACTTGTGAAACTTCTGTCATGTGCACAGCCCCTGGTGGTGACTCAGGATGTCACTGTATGAAAGGAGCCGCTTACCACTCTGCTTGAATGGCATTTCCTTAGCAGTTTCCATCCATAAACTCTCAACCCCGTGACACAAAACAGATATACACAGAATTCACTGTCAATTTCTTTATTGAAAATACAAAACCGTGTCAGAAAGTGGGTCCATGACATCGTACTTTCAAGTAAACATTTAATAGGCATGTGATGAACCGCTCACGATGGTGTGCCACACAAAATTTTATCTTGCCCTAAAACATTTTGGAAAAAATAGTTTCAGAAAGTATTCCTTATAAAAAGGGGTCTCAAAAAGAATGGCTCACAATAAGGATCCAGATCAGGCCACAGGGGGCCGGGCCATAGGGAGACAGGGGCATGAAATAGAAGGGCAGAGGAGGCAAGAATAGGGGAGGATACGGCGGTGGCATGGGCGGCTGCATAGGCCATGGGATGGGCATCATCAAGTGCACAGGCGTGGGCATGGGCGGCCACAGCAACAGGGGTCGTATAGGTGGCAGGGGCAGCAAGAATGGCAGTGCTCCCGGAAGGAATGGCACCAAATTTGGGTCCCAAGCAAACATGGCATAATAGGTTCCACCCCAGATTATGGTGACAGGGTAGTGCTGGACAATAGGGGGTGTATTTCTGGCCCTTAGAGTTCTCTGGTATCTTCTCCACCTGGCTCTCCTGTTCTTAAACCAAACCTTCAATCAGAGAAGAAAAAGAGATTGGTTTAGTACAGTGAACATTCCATTTTGTCATAGAAAAACAGAATAGGCAACTCTGTCCTAACCCTTTTCACCTGTGTTGTGAGAAACTACTTCCTTCTCACTAAAATATCTTAGGAAAAGAACATCCTTCCCTCAGTGAGCTCCAACTATGTGCCAGTCTTGGCTTGGTGTACTGCTTTGTCTCTCTCTTCCTACCTTTAATAATATCTTATTCTGCGCACTGGTTGATACAGGTCTGACTGATGTACTGGATTAGGTTTCTGCTGCTATTGCCATGGGTTTGTCTGTACCCTGAGCTGACCATCAGCAATCCAGCTGGCACCGGTCCCTGCTCACTAGGCAGGTGTCACCATGTTTGTGGATGGGAGGAAGACATTCTGGTGTGCTATGCCACAGAGTAGTTATTACATTGAACAACACTGTATTGTAGAAATCAAAATAGCTAGATGCCAGATTTGGGGATATTCTCATCACAGAGAAATTATAAACGTTTGAGTTGATGGATGTCCTCCATATCCCCATATCCTTTTAGGTTAGTGGAACTTTATTCAAAACTGTCCCTTTGAATTGCTTGTTTCATATTTTAGATAACCTTTCACAGAGTGAAAACTTTGCCCCATCTGCATCATAATGTACAACCCTTAGATTAGTAAACTTTTCAGGCTAGCACACCAAGGATTTCCAGAAAATCAAAATCTACAGCCAACTCTAGAGTAGTTTACCAGCCTTGCAAAACCGATAGCGGGGGGAGCAGACATTAGGTATTAGAACGAGCTGCAGCTTAACAATATATACTTCAGCCATGTTGTGTCTTCTATGTGAGTTATTCCTTCACACTGAGGCCTAACTATTTACAAAAGTACACCTTAAGCAAGAACCGTATGCCTGGCTTTAAATGTGTAAAACAATTTAGGGTTACAGTTGACCTCGCTCATAATAAAATTTTTTAAGTACATTAATTTGAATAATTCCTACATCAGCCTTAGCCCCAAAATGACTCCACAAAGACTCATATCCTATAGGACACTTGACTTAGAAGTTGAATTTCATCACATATATATGTATATATGATATCTAAATGTATTCACAACATTGAGTGCATATTTATAATTTCAGTTAAGATACACCTTTATATACAGTCATGCATATTTTATGTTCCCACTAATTTTATAAAATATTTTATGTAATAGATTATCAGTACACTCTATGTATACAAGGAATTAAAAACCTACATCAGTACTGTATTTTTTCCTTGGCAAGTTGTGCTCCTTCTGGTAATCGAAAATTCCCATAAGCTAGGGCTTCATCATACCATTTTCTATGCATAGAGATGCCTAAATCCTATGTTAATTTTCCCAACATTGAAAATAGGATACACAGCAGACTCATAGAATGGCAGATGTCCTAAACAGCACTCTGGCCTCAAAATCAGCCCTTAAGGCATTCGGATCTGGCTGAAGAGCCCATGAGAGTATTTTAGGCATGGAAAGCCAAGACACTCTGGCAAAAAAAAAAAAAAAAAAAAAAAAAAAAAAAACCCCACCACCTAAATGAAAGATCTCTGCGAGTGAGATCCCAGTAGAAAGAACGGGCCATCAAAGAAGGAGGTACCTTTCTCTGAAGGGAGGAGAGAACTTTTACTTTGACTATGACCCTGTCAGAATAAGATCAAAGTCGGCGAACTCAAAAGGCTTCCATAGCCTTGGCAACTCATGACTAGAGCCTTAGGGAGATTACTGATGCCATAAACAAAAGTGTCAAATTGTTAAGTCAATAACAGGAGTCACTGTGTACTACTCTCTGTGGATCTGTCCTATGTGTGTGCATGTGAGTATGCTATACCAGTACTGAAACAGTATTTTACACTTTGTGTTTCTGTGTGGGTGCAAACTGATGAAATCTTTACTTAATATATACTAAATTGATCTTCTGTATATAAAGATAATTGAAAATGAATCTTGATGTGAATGGAATGAGAGAGGGAGCGGGAGATGGGAGGGGTGCGAGTGGGAGGGAAGTTATGGGGAGGGAAAGCCATTGTAATCCATAAACTGTACTTTGGAAATTTATATTTACTAAATAAATGTTAAAAAAAGAAAAAGTATGAACTTTCCAGGAACACACACACAAAAGAAGAAAATAGAACAAGGAAAAATATTAGGACTCCAGTGGGAATGTTGTGAATAAGAACATGTTTGATGATCTCAAAAGACAAGGATTTTTCTAATGTCCAGAGATGCAGCTCAGCTTTTAGGCTTGTCCAGGCTTCCCTGAGATGTGCTTTCTCTACTCCTCCCAACCCAATGCTCTTAAATACTCTGCTATATATTGGTCTTGTTGCCTAGCAAGCATCTTGTAGAAACAAGGCATGCTTGTGGATTGAAGGGTTTAGATGTACTTTATCTTTGTTTTATATTAAAGAAGGTTGTGTAGTAAAATAAAAAAAAGAAAATGGAACAAAAATACCACATGGAAATGTTGAGAACAAAGGTCTCTAAAGGTGCTGTTTTCGGGTGTACTGACCTGCACTTTGGCTTCAGTTACATCCATGCGTCTTGCAAGCTCGAATCTGAGGGATGAAAACCAGAAATGGTCAGTGTTTTGAGTAGTGGATGAAATGAAATACAGGAGTTTATCTACTTCTTAATTTTAAATAGAAAAAAATTATAAGGGGAAGGAAAGAGAAAATGATAGAGACAGGTACAGACGGAATGATCTTTCACTCACTGATTCACTCCCCAAATGTCCACTACAGCCACTGCTGGGAAAAGCTGAAACCAGGAGCCAACATCTCCTTCCAGGTCTCCTATGTGGGTGGTAGAGACCCATGTACTTGAGCTATTATCTGTTCCCTACCAAACTGCATAACCAGGAATCTAGATGGGAAGTGCAGGTATGATGCAAACCCAGGCATTCCTGTACAAGAAATGGGCATTTCAAGCTGCAAAATTAACTCCTTCACGTGTGCCCCTTGGTTTCAAGATGTATTCCATTAACTCCTCTCCACCTAGTATGCCATTCTGTAATATCAAAATGAGGTGGTTTTAGGGAGTTTACTCTCATGCACAAACTTTAAAAGGATTCCCCAAAATTATTAATCAAGATAAATATGGTGCTAGTTTAGTATTTTAAACATATAGAAATTACCGCAAAAATAATCTGGTAAATGGAGTATGAAAAATTTAAATAAAGGCAGGGCTCCACCTTGCACTTGCTCTAGGCTCCTTGCCTTTATCTCTGCCTGGGTTCTTTTTTTTTCTGAACATTTATTTGAAAGGCAGAGTGAGAGAGAGGAGAGACAGAAAGAAATCTTTAATCCCTTTGTTCACTCCCCAGATGGTTGGTATTGTCAGGGCTGGACAAGGATGATGCCTGGAGCCTAGAATCCCACCTCAGTCTCCCAACAAGGTGGCAGTGGCCCAAACACTTGGGCCATCTCTGCTGCTTTCCAGGCACTTTAGCAGAGAGCTGGATCCCATGCCCGGTGCTGGGCAGCTAGAATTCCATCTGGTGCACTCTGGCTCGCTCCCCCTGCCCCCATAAGATTTATTTATTTATGTGAAAGAACTACAGACAGAGAGGTAGGGGGGAGAGAGAGAGAGAGAGAGAGAGAGAGAGAGGTTGATTTTCTATCCACTGGTTCTTTCCCAACATGGCTGCAACGGCCAGGGCTGTGTGGGCCAGGCCAAAGCCAGGAACCAGGAACTTCATCCTGGTTTCCCTCGTGGGCTATTCTCCACTGCCTTCCTACTGCTTTAGCAGGCAGCTTGATCGGAAGTAAAGCAGGCAGGTTTCGAAATAGCACCCATATGGGATGCTGGTGCTGCAGCATATGCCACAGAGCCAGGCCCCCAACCGGTGCTGATATGCAATGCTGGCATCTCAGGCTGAGGCTTAACTAGCAGTTAACACCCCCCTTGCCTTGGTTCTAGTAGGACCTTATTTATCACACTTTCCACACAAATTTTTCAATTTGATTCATTTAAATACCACATGAGGAACTGGTCCTTGGCACAGCAGTTAAGTTGCTTAGGATGCCCCAATCCCATGTCTGGTGATCTGATTCCAGCTTTCTGCTAATGTGCACCTTGGGAGGCAGTAGGTGGTGGGTGCATCAAGTGATTAGGCTTCTGCCACCCAGGCGTGAGGCCTGGATTGTGTTCCTGCTTCCTGGCTTTGTTCTGCTGCAGCATTAGGAGAGTGAACCAGCTGATGGGACCACTATTGGTCTCTATCTGCATCTCCAGTAAATTTAAATAAATGAACAAATTTTAAAATATACTGCATAAAAATACTTACCTTCATTTCCAGTTAGCATAGCCCAACCCCCACCAGAGAACTCCAGTGAAAGGGGAGGGAGCAGAACCTAGCACCCTGGAGTTTCCAGGTGAATTATTTCTGGAAGTAAGGAAGCAGGATCTTGGAGAACCAAACGCCACCCTGGGCCAGCTCGTGCTCCCTGAAAAGTGGGCACCCACCAGAACAATATGCTTACCGTGCTAACCCGTTGAGGTATTGATGACGCTGGAAAATTGTTTCCAACTCCTGGAGCTGTAATGAGGTGAACGTGGAACGCCTGGCCTGCTGCTCCTGCCTGCTCCCAGCTTGGCGGCTGTTGACTCCCCCTCCGATCAGCTCCTCCTGTTGCCGCCCAAGCTCCTGGCCAACGACTCGGGTGCTTCCGCCCTCGTGGTTGTTAGAGGCCACAAGGCCGGGAACACTGTCACCAACCAGACCTTGTTCTTCATCCGCGGGACCCATAATGCTTGCGCCATCCTGGCCTCCTTCTCCGCCTCCTCCTCGCGTTTCTTCTTTTTCTCCTTCCTCTCCTACATCTGCTCCCTGCTTCCGCTGGAACAGCAAACACCCTTCCTTGTCTCCTTCCTCTACAGGGAGCGAGATGGCTGTAGGCCTCACACCTGCCAAAAACAAACAAACCCAAAGAGAAAGATGAGGGTGTCTGGGTTCCAGGGTTCTTGGGAAGGAGGACGCCACCCCCTCCCACGGGGAACACTGTTTTCGTGGACATGGCTAAAGCAGGTATACCTTCCAGGCGCTGACTACGCAGTCCTTCCTGATTCTCATCGAATCCCAGGCCTGGCCAGGTGGTGACAGAGCGCCTGCTGCGCCGGGCCGGGGTCTCCATATCCTGGGCGCTGTGGTGGAGCTGTGTGCGTCTTCAGACTCTGAGCTGGAGTCTCCCGTGATCACCCGGGCAAGGCTAGAGCTGTGAGTGGCAGTCTGCAAATATCTTCTCTTGGCGCCTAGGCTGGGTTACAGTGTATCCAGCTCTAGACGCCCTGTTTTAGCTTTCTCCTCACCACCAGTTATTATGGGTTGGTTCCCTGAGGTAAACCTCCTGCAAGGGCTCAGACATGTGTTGTGCGGGCATAGGTGGGGGAGGGTTCTTATAAGAAGAGCGCTGTAAGTGCGCATATCTGAATATAGAACTTTTGCCTCCATGTTGCAATTTAGCTGCCTTCCCCCCACTTGGAGAGCAATCTTCCCAGGGACGCAGCTGTGCTGGGCTGTGCAAGTGAATTTGGGGTGGGGGAAAGAGGGTGGGGATAAGGTTGAAATACCTGACACTGGTTTCAGGGGCTTTGAAGAGCTGTATGGAAAGTATCTTTTGGTCCAGCCCTGCAAAGCTAGCAGCCAATACTTGGCAGGGGGTAGAAATTAACTTAATATGATTAGCTCCCAGGCTGCTTGTTTTGATGTTTTGGAGTAGCTGAAGTCAAAGCCCACCATGTTTCTTGGGTCTCTGGTAACTGGAGCTGGGGGCTGGGTTTGCAAAGCTTGTTAACTACTGAGATGCATTTTGCAGAAAATAGAACATGTCCCTTGAGAAAGTCCAAAACCTCCAGACTTTGAGTAATCAATCTGCATCAGAGTGCAATAGTAGAAACTTGCAGAGTGCTTACAGTATCTGAAATTTCCTCAACTTAGGGGCAGGGGCAGGAGGCGTTTCTTTTCCTGCTAGTTGCTACTGTGGATAATGTAACTTCACTATGTCTCCGGCTACTGATCATGTACAAAAGCTCACTTGTCCCCTGTGCAGTGCTGGTAACTTGGACCTACCATGAATTCCTCACTTTCCTGCTGCCTCCGTTCCATGTGCTATACCAGAATGGAGTTCCCGGCTCCTGGCTTTGGCCTGGCCCAGCCCTAGCCATTATGGTCATTTGGAGACTGAACCAGCAGATGGAAGATGGAAGGTCTGTGTCTTTCAAATAAAAAGAAATATTTTTAAAAGAAAGATATGTATGATATGCATTTTATTTATTGCCATATTTACAGAGCCTGGAAATATTGAGGAGGGCTCTAAGATTTTTGCTTTAAGAAGTGATTTTTAGGGGCAGGCATGTAGCCCAGCTATTGTGTTGCCCATGTCCCACACTGGAGAACCTGGGTTTGATTCCCAGCTGTAGCTATTAAATCCAGCCTCCTGACATTTGCAGGAATAATCTTACTCTTTTCATCAGACATTATGCAACTGCCAATCAGACATATTAGATATTTGCAAAACCCACTAAGCACCCTAACTTGGCAACATTAATGATAAATCCATTATTTTTCCTCCAAACTTGATCCTTTTTGTATTCCTGCCACCAATTCATATTGCCTTTTGGCTGAAGCCAGAAATCCAAGTATCATCTTTGACACTTCCTTCTTTCTTGAAAACCTGTATTACATCCACCAGTAAGTTCAGTACTGCTTTAAAATAAGCCCCAGCATCAGTTTCTTTCCTATAAGGGCCTCTAATGAATTAACTAAAGTTAAATTAGGTCATAAGGGTTGAGCCCTGATGTGATAAGACTAGTATACGTATAAGAAGAGACACTAGAGAGCTAGCATTCATATTCTACCCCCCCCCCCCCCGTCCCATGGGAGAACACAGAAAGCAGCTATCTACAATTTAGGAAAACCCTCATCAGGAAAAAATTCAGCCAGCACCTTAATTAATATTGGACTTATCAGCCTCTAGAACTATGAGAAAGTAATTTATGCTGTCTTAGACATCCAGTCTGGTATTTTCTTTTTTGGTAAGATTTATTTATTTATTTGAAAGACAGGATCTCTCTCTCTCTCTCTCTCTCTCTCTCTCACACACACACACACACACACACACACACATTTACAGACACAGACAGGAAGATCTTTCATCCACTGGTTCACTCTGCAAATGGTTGTAATGGTCAGCACAATCCAGCTCAGTCCTTTGTCACTCCACAGGACACCACATGCACTCAGAAGCAAGTCCTGCAACTCTTTCTGGCATCTTCAGTCACAGTGCAGACTCATGGACAGACTGACCCTGCTCAGTCTTACCCCTTAACTGCAGTATCAGCTCCAGTGGACTGAGCCCTCATCATGAGTCTTAACTGTATTATTTCATTTTCAGTTTACAACAGCACAGTGCAGATATCATTCTAGAAATGTGGCACCCGAGGCTCAGAGAGAGATCAACTAAATTGGTTAAGGTCACAGAGAAAGTAAATGATGGTACTGGCTAGTCTGCCTCTATACTGTCTAGCCTCTTTGGAATGAGCCGATCTGCCTCCCTAGACTGTAAGAATCTATTGCACAGTGTTAATGTTGGGTATCATTTACATCCCTAGATTGCTTGGCAAATTGCCCTATAGTCATTGCAGGCAACCTAGGCTTAGTGACACAATCATGTGAGTGCAAAAAAATACGTAAGGGACATTATTTTCTCAATAAAACATCTTTTATTCATTGCTAACAATCATATGATAACTATGTTATTTCTTCTTATAACCCCTTATGAAAAACAATTGTTGTGACCAGATCATTGGATCCCCAAACGCCGCCAGAGACTCAAACACACCGAAATGCAAAAGTAAGGTTTATTTCGGAAGTACAAGCCCTGGCAGGGACCCCGTGTAACCAACCGCACAGTGGAGGGCAGAGGAAGGCCCCGAGCCATGCTCAGGAGCCTCTTTTAAAGCAGGGTTACATCATCGAGGGGTGCGGGGTAAGAGTGGATTGGCTGGGGTCCCCTCTGGTACTTCCTGATCGAAGGTGGTTGTTCCTGATTGGTTTGGACCTAGGGAATTTCCTTATATAGTGAATGCTAACGAGCTGTTCTGTTGTAAGTTTTGGTTTCCCCTGAGTGACACTGCTTTCACAGGAAGTCGGGCCTGCCTCCATGAATGGAGGCACTTTTTCAAAATGTAGGTACTCTGGCCCTTCATTCCCCCCTTGTTTTTGTGCATATTTAAAGACCCAATCATGGGTTATGGACTGAAATTTTGTAAGTTTCAGTAGTATTTAAAGGCTTATATTGGGGCCATTGGACCATTAACTGAATGGTACCCAATCTCTGTTTCATGAACTGCACAAGTCTGTTGATAATGTAAGGGCCAAAGGTTAAGATTAGAATTAGGAGAACAAGGGGCCCTATGAGTCCTGTTAGTAGGGTGGTTAGCCATGGAGATGAATTAAATCAAGACTCAAACCACCCTGAGAGGCTTCCCGTTCTTTTTTTCATTTTGCCAGTCCTTCCCTGACTTTAGCCATGTTTTTATTGGGCCCGAGTGATCGGCATAAAAGCAGCATTCTTCCCCCAGTGCGGTGCACAACCCCCTTTGTTGCAAGAACACTAGGTCGAGTCCCCACCGCATCTTTAACACAACTTCAGCCAGAGATGAGAGGGATTGTTCTAAGTGGGTAATGGAGTTTTCTATGCGTTCTATGTCAATATCTATAGCTGCCCTCAATTTGGAGTAATGCTGATTTTGGGTTACTAGGGCCAATAGCCCAGTGCCCAGCACCCCCCCCCCCCCGGCTGGCTCCTATTAGTAAACTTAGAGTTAGGGCGGTTATGGGCTCCCTTTTATATCTGTGGGTTCCAATCATTTCCTGTTTGTCCTGGACCCTATTTAAGAATTCACTATTCACATGATATATAATTTTGAGGACCAATCTAACAGGTATGCAATAATCATTTAGGACCTGAAGATGGGCACAAGGGGTAAGGCTGGTAAAGCAAGCCCACCAGGTGTCATCATGAGGTATGATATACCGGTTTGCCGGGTTTATCTTAAAAGTAGTTACAGAGATGTTTTTTGCTGTAGGGGACCTGTCCCAAGTAGAGTCCCTGCCCCGTAACTTATCCCAAAGTTAGACCCTGATTACGGCTTTTCCATCTACAGTTAGTGGAGAAGGTAGAGTTAGAAAACGCGGTGGTGACCGCATAACCTTCATAATAGGGGGGACTATATCATAGCAGAGCCAACAAGCCATTGTTAAATTTGGGTTCGTAGTATTTAGGACCTGGAAAGACTTGGCAAGCAAATCTAATATCAGGTGTTTTACAGGAGATTGAGGATCAAGGGTGTTGGGGGCATTAGTAACCCTAGTGAGTCCAGTGGATGGATGTTTGAGGATGCTCCAGGATTCTCCTCGGGTTTCTGTTGTCGGAGGAGCTGGCAGATCTGTGGGCTGGGCGTGAGAGTAGTGGATCCATGTGGCGACCCCGTCTACTTTGAGAGCCATGGGAGTTGTCATGAGGACAATGAACGGGCCCTTCCATCGAGGCTCGAGTGTCTTGCGATGATGTCTCTGAACCAGAACCCAATCCCCCGTCGGAATCTATGAGGGGTAGGGGGAGAAACAGTTTCATATACAGCTTTTAATTTAGGCCAAATATCCTGGTGGGTAAGTTGGAGCCGACGCACAGCATCCAGGACATCCTGGTCATCTAAAGTAGCAATCAAGTCAGATTGTAAACTAGGTATTAGGGGAGGGGGTTTACTATACATAATTTCAAAAGGAGTAATACTTAGCTGGTAGGGGGAATTTTTAACCCGGAATAGAGAAAAGGGAAGGAGAGTTACCCAGTCCGCACCAGTCTCTAAGGCCAATTTAGTTAAGGTCTCTTTAGAGTTCTGTTCATTCTTTCTACCTGTCCTGAGCTTTGGGGCCTGTATGCACAATGTAATTTCCAATTTGCCCCCAGTGCAGTGGCTATTCCCTGGCTTATCTGCGAGGTAAAAGCTGGGCCGTTGTTTGACCTGATCGTGGTGGGAAATCCATACCTGGGCACGATCTCTTCAACCAGTTTTTTTGCTACCACGAAGGTAGTTTCATGTTTCATGTTTCATGGGGAAGGCTTCAGTCCATCCAGAGAAAGTATCTATGAACACTCTGGCCATCCCGCACGAAGCTGCTGCCATCAGTGAACCAGGTGGCTTCTGCGTCGGGTAACGGAGTGTCCTTCAGGTCTGGTCGAATGCAGTGAGCCTGGGCC